GAAATGGGAGATAGGGGATGTAATGGGGTTGTTGGGGACAGGGAAATGGGAGATAGGGATGTAATGGGATTGTTGGGGACAGGGAAATGGGAAATAGGGATGTAATGGGGTTGCTGGGGACAGGGAAATGGGGGATGTAATGGGGTTGTTGGGGACAGGGAAATGGGAAATAGGGATGTAATGGGGTTGTTGGGGACAGGGAAATAGGGGATGTAATGGGGTTGTTTGGGACAGGGAAATGGGAAATAGGGGATGTAATGGGGTTGCTGGGGACAAGGACATCAGGAATGAGGATGGGGACAAAGAAGACTCAGCTCCACCTCATCCCTTGGGGATTTGTGGGAATGGGGACATCAGGGATGGGGATGCTGGGAGCAATGGGGACAATGGGGTTGTAGAGGATACTGGGGACAGACAGGTGGCCTCAACCCTGTCCCTGCAGGTTCCTGGACACCGTGGATGCCACCATGTCCATCCTCGATATCTCCATGCTCACCGGCTTCTCTCCTGACGTCCAGGACCTGAAGAGTGTGAGTATGGGGCTGTAGGGACACATGGGGACACCAGGGGGCACGGGGCCACGCATCACTGTGCCATCATGTCCCCCGTGTCCCCATGTGTGTCCCCAACCCCCCTATACCTCTGTCTCTCCCATGTCCTCGTGTTGTCACTGTGTCCCCATGCCCCCCCCAGCTCTCGGAGGGAGTGGAGAGGTACATTTCCAAATTTGAGATCGACCACGCGCTGTCGAACCGCAGCAACCTCATCATCTACCTGGACAAGGTGAGGACAGGGGGGGGGGGTGTGGGGGATTTGGGGACGGGGACGAGATGGGATGGGATGGGGAAAGGGACATTGTGGGACAGGAGACCCCGGTGGCATAGGATGGGGATGGAGATGAGATGGGACAGGTTGGAGTTGGAGACAGAGGCAAGGATGGGACAGTATGGAGGTGGGGACAATGTGGGGACAGGGGGGAGAAATGGTTCAGATTGAAGTTGGGCAGGGACAGAGATGGAGCTGGGGGCAAGATGTGGGTAGGGGCGGGAACGGGGATGGTGACAAATGGGGACATGGATGGAGATGGGAATGGGGACATGGGGATATGGGTTGAGATGGGAATGGGGGCATTGATGGAGATGGGAATGGGGATATGGGGACATGGATGGAGATGGGAAAGGGGTTATGGATGGAGATGGGAATGGGAACATGGGGATATGGATGGAGATGGGAAAGGGGATATGGAGATATGGATGGAGATGGGAATGGGAACATGGATGGAGATGGGAATGGGGATATATGGATATGGATGGAGATGAGAATGGGGACATGGGGATATGGATGGAGATGGGAATGGGGTTATGGATGGAGATGGGAATGGGGATATGGAGATATGGATGGAGATGGGAAAGGGGTTATGGATGGAGATGGGAATGGGCACATGGATGGAGATGGGAATGGGGACATGGATGGAGACAGGATGGAGATATGGGGATATGGATGGAGATGGGAAAGGGGACATGGAGATATGGATGGAGATGGGAATGGGGATAAGGATGGAGACGGGAATGGGGACATGGGGACATGCATGGAGATGGGAATGGGGACATGAGGACATGGATGGAGATGGGAATGGAGACGTGGATGGAGACGGGAATGGGGATATGGGGATATGCATGGAGATGGGAATGGGAACATGAGGACATGGATGGAGATGGATGGAGATGGGAATGGGAACATGAGGACATGGATGGAGATGGGAATGGGAACATGGATGGAAATGGATGGAGATGGGAATGGGGACATGAGGACATGGATGGAGATGGGAATGGGGACGATGAATGGGTATGGGGTGAGGACATGGTGTCATTGCCTTCTGTCCCCATCCCACATCTTTGTGTCCCGCGTGCAGATCTCCCACCAAGTGGAGGAGTGCATCGCCTTCAGGGCCCACCAGCACTTCCAGGTGGGACTGATCCAGCCTGCCTCCGTCAGTGTCTACAGCTACTACAAGATCGGTGTGTCCCCATGTCCCCTCTTATCCCCTCATGTCACCCCCGGATCCCACAAAGCCCCTCTGTCCCTTGTGTGCCCATCTACGTTCTCTCTGCCTCCTCCTGTCCACGTGTCCCATCACATCCCTGATGACTGCCCCCATGTCCCCAAGCCCCCCGTGCCACCACGTTTCCCTATTTCCCCATACATGCCCCTATGTCCCCACACGTGTCCCCACGCCCCGTTTTGGTGACCCTCTCCCTTCACGTCCCTCTTTGTCCCTGTGTGGTCTCCTCTGCGTCCCCACATGTCCCCATGTCCCCACAGATGATCGCTGCACCCGCTTCTACCACCCGGACAAGGATGGTGGGCAGCTGAGGAAGATCTGCCACGGGGATGTGTGCCGCTGTGCTGAAGGTGACGTGGGGACACGGGGACGTGGGGACAGAGTGTCCCCTTCCATATGTCTCATGTCACCCATTTTCCCAGTCCCCAAATGCTTCCCGTGTCCCCATGTCCGTCTCCAATCCTTCTCTATGTCTCCATGTGATGGGACATGTCACTGCCATGATGGGACACGTCATTGTTGTGACAGGACATGTCACTGCCATGATGGGATGTCATTGTTGTCATGGGACACGTCATTGCCATGATGGAATATGGCATTTCCATGATGGGACATGTTGTTGTTGTGACAGGGCATGTCATTGCCTTGATAGGACATGTCATTACCATGATGGAATATGTCACTGCCATGATGGGACATGTCATTGTTGTGACAGGACATGTCATTGCCATGATGGGACATGTCATTGCCACAATAAGGTGTCATGACCACAGTGGGACATGTCACTGTTGTGATGGGACATGTCATTGTCACGAAGAGACACGTCATTGCCATGATGGGCCATGTTGTTGCTGTGACAGGGCATGTCATTGCCATGATGGGCCATGTCATTTCCGTGATGAAATATGTCACTGTTGTGACAGGGCATGTCATTGCCATGATGGGACATGTCATTGTTGTGACAGGACATGTCATTGCCATGATGGGACATGTCATTTCCACGATGGGACATGTCACTGTCATCATGGGACATGTCATTGTCACGACAAAACACATCATTTCCATGATGAAATATGTCACTGTTGTGACAGGGCATGTCATTGCCATGATGGGACATGTCATTTCCACGATGGGACATGTCACTGTCATCATGGGACATGTCATTGTCACGACAAAACACATCATTGCCATGATGGAATATGTCATTTCCATGATGAAATATGTCACTGTTGTGACAGGGCATGTCATTGCCATGATGGGACATGTCAT